GGTAAATATTCAATTCACTTGACTCCCGTGTGAAATACTACTATTTATATGCTAACACGCCAACAGATGCAATCTGACCGCCTTACCGTTTTTGACTGGCTGTCGTTGCGCACTCTGTTTGTATTCAAGAGTCTGTTATTTGAATCGATGGCAGTTGATCGGGGTTTTCATACCACTTCTTAATTTATTTAAAAGAGCCGATGTGGAGTGCAATACGTATTCAAGTCCCATTTGCGCCCCGTGACAACAAACATGAACACTCGATCGCCGGTTCTGTTCGCTTGTTGCTGCCACGCCCAGGCATTGTGGTCTGCAAGTTAATAGGAGCACGCGAATTCGAACGTCGCACACTGGTGTTTGTTTTGATTTGGCGTGAATAGCATTTGAATACATAATACACTTTTATTTCTTTCAATCTACCACCTTTTGGACCTTACGACTTTTCAGCAATGGACAAGTTTACCATTTTGTTGTTATTAGCTCAAATGAAAGTTTAGGAAAAATGAAACAAGATGGTGAAAAAATTATCAATTTATCTCGTAAAACAAAAAAGTTACAGCCCATCAAAGTTGCGCCCCGCGAGAATATTTTTATTCCGTCTGTACGTTACGTGTGACGTCACACTTCAGACTTCAGTATCCAGTTGCAACGCCCGCGGCCGATTCCTGGGCCCTAGCCGGCTCAATCTCCTAAATACATGCATAGACACACATACAGCGGCACACATAGTAGGCTAAACGTCTTCCGCCCCAATTTGTTTAACTAGTTGACTGCATATACGATCGGTATCGGTTATGAGCGAAATAAGAAAAAATACTAAATACTGTAACCGTTCCTAAATGTACGAGCACAACAATTACAACCCCTAATAAACATCTTTTCTACGTACCTTCACATGCGGCGTCCATAATGGTATGAACTTACGCAGTACTCTATAGTTATCAACTGGAAACCAAGTGTCCGAGCGCACAGGTGTGCCTTATGAATTGTCTATAGACTAATGAATAAACGCACATACGCTGTCGAACACCTACGCGACGAGACACTGGGCACTATAGAAGTGTGACGTCAGACGCGAACCAACTGGCTGATTATAAATGATGAAACTTAGTAGGCCGCGCGGATCGAACGTCAGTACTGAATCTTAACCTCACTCTTTAGTAAACTTAAATTCAAACTTTCACAACAATACGTGCAGTGTTCTCACTACAGTGAATTTTTAAGTGTCACCAAGTCATTAGAAAAATGGAACTCAACCGAGGAACATTTTCGCGACATAATTTATTACAACTTTCAGAGGCAATTTTCGCAACAAGAATGCCTTGCTGAGTTACTGTCTGTTTTCGGCAACGAAGCGCCACATCAGTCGACAATTTCCCGTTGGTATGGAGAATTCAAACGTGGGCGGGTGAGTTTTAGCGACGATCCCAGGGTTGGTGCACCAAAAACGGCAGTCACCCAGGAATACGTCGAAGCTGTGCGCAAACTCATCATAGACATGTGACATATCGCGAGATTGAGGCATCCTTGAAGATCTCAGACCTCAGTTCAAAAAATTTTACATGAAGAATTAGGAGTTAGAAAATTAGTTTCTTGTTGGATACCCCACCTATTGACGGAAGAGCAGAAAGCAGCCAGGGTTAATTGGTGTCAAAAAACGCTTGACCGTTTCAATTACGGAAACTCAAAAAATGTGTACAGCATTGTTAGTGGTGATGAATCGTGGATTTACTGTTATGAACCAGAAAATAAGCGACAGTCGGCTGTTTGGGTGTTCCAAGGTGAAGAAAAGCCAACAAAAGTCATCCGTTCTAGAAGTGTTTCGAAAAAGATGGTCGCGACATTTGTGTGAAAAGCGGGTCATATTACAACAATTCTTCTTAATGAGCAAAGAACTGTTACTGCGGATTGGTATACCACCATTTGTTTGCCAAAAGTCATCACCGAGCTTCGAAAAATCAACCCCGAAAGAAGAATCATCCTCCACCAAGACAATGCAAGCTCGCAGACAGTCCAAAAAACAAGGCAGTATTTAACGGAAGAAAACGTGGAATTATTGGACCATCCTCCATATAGTCCCGATTTAAGTCCTAACGATTTATTTACTTTCCCGAAAATTAAAAACAGACTGCGTGGTCAAAGGTTCCAGTCACCAGAAGAAGCAGTTGACGCATTCAAAAATGCCGTTTTGGGTCTGCCACCAAACTAGTGGAATAAGTGCTTCGAAAATTGGTTCAAGCGCATATAGATGTGTATTAATCTTCAGGGAAAATACTTCGAAAAACAATAAAGTCATTTAAAATTACCTACCGTGTTGCTCGATTTCCATATGCAAAACTTAAAAGACATCCCTCGTATTTAGTCTATATTTTGCTGGTATGTCATTACTTATGCGATTCTGAGTATCACGAAACTTCTCCATTTTGGTGAGCGAATAGTGAAAACGTTATTTTCAATAAAATGATCAGTAATTGCCGTCATAATAATCTGTCGCATCAAAGATCCATGATACTAGTAGTGATTATTGCTTTCTTTTCATTATTATTATCATCATTATTATATAAAACTTCTCTCTGATTGGTCGATTTGCTCCCTAGTAAATTTTGGTTAGGGGGCGAATGGAAAAATAGATTTTGGTAGCTAAACTAGGTGATTATTTTGAAATCTCTTGATTTGATATGGGGATTAGAAGCCTTTCTTACAAAAGTTGTAGAATTTTTCGCTAGTTTAAAAACGCGTTCTGATTGGTCGGACCTTAGTAGTAGGTTGATTAGTAAGTTTTGATCGTATAACAGCGCTACTAAAGAATCTTAGCGGTTTTAACAAGTCGAATGTTTCCCAAATTACCTGATATCTAGAATAATTCCGAAATTTAATTCCACGCTTCTCAGAACCGTTGCACATGTTATACAGATTGTAAACCGGACAACCTGGTTACGCTAAACAGCAAATGTTTAAATCCTGGGTTCGTCGCAGATTGCGGTCGCTACCGGGTAAAAAATGCCGTAGAGATAATAAACAGACATACACATTATATCCTTCCACGCATTGTCGCTGCATGGAAACAAGAGTCAGTTGGCATCACGTTTTCGTCGCAATGGACGTGTTAATTGAGTATGAGTGAAAAATAGCCGGTAGCGTTCGATTTTTTATAATAAAAGTACAATTTATTTTTATTAGTTTATAAGAGCATTGTATCATCTTGTATATTGTTATATTAGCTAATGACATGTTTACAAAATAAAATTAATGTTTCTTGAGATCCCAGAATTATAAAGAAAAAAATAAAAAGTGTGGGTCGCGACCTGCTAAGGGTCGTAGTGAGGTAGGAGATCGCCGGAAATCTTCAATATAAGATAAAAACACCCCTTTGTTAAATAATGTATTTTCATGGAACGGATTCAGAATCGACGTGCCACTGTGGTAACTGTTTCGACCTTCTTCGGGGAAATAATCCCAGAGGTTTTGTTTTAAATTGAGTAAAGTAACTTGCCTCTCTGCAAACACTTGTTAGTAGGGAAATCTAGTTTCAAAAGCCAAATGGGATCGGAAAATTAATTTTCTTATGTGGACTTCTCATATTTGGAATGCACTCTCTACTCTCAGGGTAAATAGGCTTTTTAAGATGTTGCCCCTACTCGGTGTTATGAAGACTTATAAATAAAGCATCCATGTCTTCGCAGATTTTTCGAAAAAAAACCGACCTTCAAAACTTTTACTTTAATGATGGACACAGTCCATATCTCCATGCTAGTCCCTGGCAAAAGTACTACTAGTTATTAGTAGGAAATATAGCACTTATTTAAATAGTTGTTGAACTTTTTAATTAGTTTAAATTTAAACAGTGAAATAAAATTTGAGAAATCATAGTTAGTTGTAGATTACGCACGCTATTTTTGTCGATATTTTGGTTTGGGTGATGAGTAGGGGCAAGTAAGGAGTCGTGAATTTTAACAGAAAGGGATTGCATGTTAGATAAGTTTGGAAGACTGGTTTAGTGCACCGGGCTTAAATATTAAAGCGCAAAATTCTTGCCTAAGACTAATTTATGGTATCCGCAGACCAAGCAGTCTCTCTCAAATATAATGATGGAGGGTAGCTAAACATGTGCAACAGAAGAGTAGTGCTGCAGCTTGTTTATATAATATTTTATATAATAAGGTAAATAATTGCTAAACACCTATAACTTATAATAAAATAAAATTTCGCACAGATGTGCACGTTTTAAATATAAGATTTACGGAACTATTGTCTGCTACGTTTCACCATGAATTTTTCAAGCGAAGTTTGACCTACCAAATTTATAGTGTGTAACAATGGATCCCAAGTGAAATTAAAATATTTAATATTGTAAAATTCAAGAGCCATGTCAAACGGACAGTATTTAGCAAACAAAGCTGATTATACAATAGACATAGACAATGCAAGTCAGTATTTATTATTGCTTTTATTTAGAATATGTTGTTATTATTAGGGTGGTTATTAAGAATGTGTGGTGTTGAATATAATGTGATTCAACGAGCAAAGGGTTAAGTGGAAGAACAGATTTGTCACTTCAGTGGTGCACAACTGAACTTCACCATTCGCCAAACTCTTTTTCATGAGTAAGTTTATTTGTTGTTGTTTGACGAATAAAGACGTTTATTATTATTATTAATAAATAGAGTTTCATTATATATTATCATAGTATAAACGAACAGGATAACATTAAAAAGTCGATATAAATATCCATGTATTCAAATATGTATATTGTATGGGGTAGCGACCGTTTGCGTTCGAAATTGCATAGCGACGTACGCCAGGTTGAAATCCCTAAGCCTCTCTCGCTTCGAGGGGCGGTCAGCGATGTTTTTCTTTTCTACCGATATGCCAACGTACTTTGCTCCTTTGCGCTCTCTATGATGCCTCCGATTTCTACGCCTATCAAGTAGAGCCGCCAAGTTACATTTTTCCTACTGCCACTGGGATATGTTATCTCAATCGCATTTTTGTTTTTTCAGCTGATTGGTGTACTGTTTGCAACCTGCTTGGCGAGATCAATCAGAAAAGAGTATGAAACGGTGTGAATGCACCATAAGTAAAAAACCTCACGTGCGTATGTATTGCACAGTATTTCCCACATTCTGTCCATGGTTTAGTTTGTTATTTATTGTTTTTATAGAATGTTATTTTTATTTTTTACTATTATAAAGTATGTATACCTCACCTCTGCATTTATTTTGTATCTACTACTGGATCAGAAATATCTTAAGAACACAGCACAACTGTTACTTGAAATTTTACACGAATTTATATTGCAGATGCAAGATATACAATTTTCAAAAACACTCAATTACATTCTAACCAAAGTCTGATTTTTAGTAGTATTATGTTTATATTGATCGTTTTGTTATTTTTTTTCTTGTAATGATAGTAATGAATATTATCTTGTTATTCATAGATGTAAGATTGTATAGTTAATTATAAATATAGCAACATGTTTTACTTTGGTTTGTAGTAGAATTAACTTTTTTTAATTGATGTCTTTTGCGTGAGACTGTTGCAGAAAATTCACCTTTGTCTTGGATGCTCGAAATATGCCAAACCTATTTATGGAAAAACATTATTTTTGAAATGATTTTAAGAATTTTTACCTTTCATATTTTGTAGTCACCCTCTTTGAATGTAAAGGGATGAAAAATGTAGATACCAAAATAATTTCCTGTATAATATGGATGAATATACCAATTACATAATTATAAATTAACATTGTCTAATCTAAAAATTTTGCAAGAATGTCTTCGGAAAATCGCAATTGGCCATTTTATGCTACATACAAAAAAACTCTGTAATTGGTGTATTCCAAATTCTAGAAAATTACTATACACTTTCGGATTCATTAAGCGATTGTCAGTTTTAAAAACCAAATTATTTAGTCTCGAATATGCAATTTTTTTTATTTTTAGCTTATTGGGTTAGGTTTCTCCAGAAAGTAATGCATTTAGTTTCATAACACAACTGCCATGTATCTGCAGCAAAATATGTTAAAGACCTGAATTTGTACTAATATCGAGAGGAGGTATGAAAGCTGAATCGTATAACTTACTGGGCTGCCCCTGAATTCACATTCAGTTGTATTTTGAGTTGAATTGTTTTATAATTAAAATCACACTCTGTATATGTATAATACCTTGATTTGTGCTAAATTAAATGTTATTGTGGCCCATTTAATTTCAATAAAAGAAATTTACATACATAACGTTATTGCAAATAAAACCAAATTAGTACATTACTAAAATTTATTATTACAATTACAACTAAACAGTACTTGCTAATAGAATAGTCCATATTCTCTTTAAATTTAATAAAAAAAAGTATACACAAGCAGCTGAGGGTATGTATTTTTATCATACGTTTATACAATCGAGAAAAAAAATAAATATACCTATCACAAAAACAAAAAACTTGTAGTTCTGCACAAGCATCTACATAGACCTTGGGTGAACTATTTCAAAGGGAACATTAGACAACATCCATTCAAAAATAAACAAATTTTGATATGAGAGCTTGGTCTAAACCTTTTTCTGAAATTACTTTTGTCACATAAACTTTATGAGAGGCATTTTTATGAACGACTGTGTTATAGATTCGTACAGATTGGGAAATTTTAAAATCGGACATGTAACTCGTATTGAGACGATAAAGCGCCATGAAGAAAAGGAGGTATAAACAAAAAAACATATAGCTAGAAATTTGGGATGAACCACGGCATATTATGTCTAATCACTTGCAAATAAAAAAAGGCGTTACCAGGTTGACTGCACTTCCTACGCAACGCTATCGTCAGTTTATAAGTACAGCGCAATCTAAATCCTCTGAGAACTCGGTTACGAACATGTACAACAGAGAAATTTTACCGACCAATACAATCAATCCATAGACAATCTTTCCCTAACCTACCGGTAGTCACTGTCCATTTGGCAACGTTGTCATTTTCCACGTCTGCGCGGCAAGTGATTAAGGCAAATGTACGGGGAAATATATGAAGTGTGAAATATGGCTAATAGGTACATAGAATTATCTGGGTTGGGAAGTATAAATAAAACCAAGATCAAAAAAAAAAAAAACATTTACCGTCCCCCGCCCCCTACAGACCCGCGAACCCTGAATTTCAACCCCACAAATGTTTTTCTGAAAATGATCAGAACTCTCCAAAACATCAAATGTTATTCGCCGTCACTGGACCGATTTTCAAAAACTATAAAATTTTTCGTCCTTGGATAGTACCAAATTTGTGTGTAAATTCCATCAAAATCCCAGCGCTGATTTTCAGGTTACAGACGGGCCAAGGATTAGCTGACAGACAGACCTACGGAAATGAATGACGTGGTTTTTCGAGATTTTCATAATATATAAAATCCAAAAAACACAGTATCTCATTTTCGAAATAATTTGCGAAATACTTCCTCGCCTAGTGGCATAGGAAGTAAAATTGGATGATGTCACATTTAAGGTCAGTCACTCACATGTAACACATAATTTGTCTCGATAACTAAGCTCTAAGCTACCTTTCTGTTTCACCATCTGTATGTTAAATATTGATTGCATTTTTAAATTTTTATGTGGCTGAAGCCTATATTTGTCTACTTATTCAGCAACTTTTTCACCAAGAATACGTTCCAAATACAACCGCAAATTTTTTTAACTAATGTTCAAGACTAAACAATCTCAGGCCTAAGATAGGTGAATAGCATGGAAACACACAGCCGTTAAAAACCAAAAGAATTTTGAATATCGAAGATTTCGCGACTTATCGATCAACATTCACTTATTTCAATAAAAATTGCTACCTATGGTTGGTTTTAAATCTCAGAATTCAAAATCCACTTTTAGGCATTTTCATAGACGGCGTATACAATTTGCGATTTTTAACAAACCCACGTCAACTTCTTGAGTTATTTTTAAGTTTCAGCTCGATCGAATTCTGTATCAGATGGAATCAAATTTTCGGCCCAAAATTCGTATTGGGCTGATAGCTAACCAGACTGGCTCAATTTGTGTGTGCAGTCAGTCAGCCATAGCAATAACGCTTTGTCTGTGGTTATTTGAATTAAATGGAGACTGACATTAAGCAGTATAGTGCTCATATAAGATTTTTAGGTATTTATGAGACCTACAAAATGAGCCCACACGTAAGAAGACCCGACTACTAGCAAAAAAGTCATAAATACCTAAAAATTTTATATAAAAAGTGCTTTGGTTCCTATAAACACTTTCAATTGAATCCCAAAAAACACGTTTTCTCATTCTTTGTTGTCGAATAAAAAGTTTTCCTACAAAAATTGGTGTACCCGTTTTATGCGTCTATGTTTTAAATACTCCCTTGAACTTGCACCAATAAAACGAGACTACAATTATTTCGGGGAAATTTGCTAATATGATTAGACTATCAGAAAAAAATTTAATTACAAACCGACATTTCTATTTTAATACTAAACAGTTGACTATTAAACGTCTCACTTTGAATTTCAATTATTTCTCAACCTCAAATACCCTGCGAGTCTCCTCTATCCTACAAATATGAAATTGTAAAAATCAATGTTGTTTATTTACTAACTTCAGCGCTCTTACACCTTTCAAACTTGTCACCGTTCAGTATTTTCAAAGTTTTGACAGCAGTTGATGAGGTTTTGAGAACATGAAACTATTTTTAAGCCACATTATTTTTAATAAAGTGATATCTATTGTGAATATAGTAAAACTCCGTATAACGCAATAAAAAAATGGAGGTGAAGCAACCGTTCCGCGATACCAAGCTTCTAAAAGAAAGGTTCCGATTTCTAGGAAAACGTTAAACAATTACCTAGTATAGGCTGGAAACCTCCCAATTCCACTTAAAAATGATTTATACATTTACTTTTCAGTATTTAAAACGAAATTCTTATACACGACTGACATCAACTTCACAGCCAAAGAAATTATCATCAGTACAGAAAAAATTTGTTTTTAAAACATCCTCCCATAAAATTCAGAACTACAATGTGTTCATTTATTTTAATTTAATTCCACAATAATTTCATAACATAACCTACCTTAACTTTACCTAATCTTGGTACAAACTTAAAAGGTATACATGAACATTTAGACAGGTAAATATAAATTTTATACACCCATAAGGATCCGTTAAAACTAAAATGTTCACGGACCAGGTTAGTTATGAATATAAAATGACAGTTACGCAACCATACGACATATTTATAAGAAAAATGGATCAGTTGCAAAGTGAATCCTTATGTGTGTAGCATAGTTGTAGTCGAGGAGTTAAGACTGAAATAAAGAGAAAAACAATTTGTTGCCAAGGCTGGCTGACAAACAGCGAGGGACTCTGAAGTTTTTTTGGCCCCTGCATGCTGATCACGTTGCATAGCGCTTGGTCCAAAGCCTCGCAATGCGATCGTGCTCTTCACGATTTTGTAGGTATTGTGTTGCTATGCTCCCTACCAATGGATCAGCTAAAAATAAAAGAAGCTATTAAGGCTAATTTTAAAACCCAATATTAGAGCGCTTTCTCTTTTCTTCGTCATAATCAAAGAAGCAAAGAGCGCTTAGCACCTAGCATATTTTTTTCTTAGCAAATGCTTTTTCAATTTGTTGCACAAGATAGTAGAAATGTAAATTTGATGTCAATTTCATTCGACCTTTTGCCCAATAAAGTTAAAGAAATCGGACCAAATAATTCGTGTAGTTTTGAAAATTAGCAGTTCTATTCCTTAACGTGTCCAGATGAACATACTAAACGCCCTCGACCGTGGGAGGTGAGTCGGCGGTAGGGGAGGCGTGGAAATGTTCCTTTGCCCCTTCTTTCAGGTTTTTGCATGCATCTCTTAGGGCCAATTTCACCAACAACAGTCCGTTATTCTCCACCTATAGGGTAACAGACCGTCAGATACAGCGAATGAGCTTCAAGTTCCAAACAAAATTTTTGGAAACCAATAGCTATGAAATGTTGAAAACAAAATATTGTCAAAGTATGAGATGACAACTTGTCATTGAAACATTACCAGCTTATTGAATATTAAGAAATTACATGTAATTCAGTCAAAATTTTCAGAAATGTTTGATTTTTAATTAAATTCATGTTTTAATCACTATTGTTGATTTTTTATTCATGTTTATATTATTTTCTTCAATTGATATGTGATACTGGGTGTTTTTTCCGATAAACCTTTTGCAGATAGCCTTTAAGCACCTACTTGATGGCAGGCTCTACCAAAAGATATTGCTCGTTTCCAAACATTCATTCATTTACTTGCCGTTCATCAGAACCATTATGGCACCTTAGATTGATATTCCCACAAAACCGTGCAGGTTTTTTGATATCCATACATCCATAAAGTTGAATATTTTTCGTTGTTCAGGAACTGAACAAACATCCACACTATATTCACAGCGATTAAGAAATTCCCAAATATATGCCTTAAAGTTACCAGCAAACCTAAAACCTGCAAAAAAAACTACAAATTTGCCATATTTTTCTTTTTTCACGAGTACACATTCTAGGTTATATTTATATTAGACATTATTTGAATACAGCTGATTATTGCATTTCAAGGAGTGACACATGTGCGGGATCTGTCAACTCTTGGTACCAGTCACAAAACATATACTCTGAAGGTTTAATTCCATGCTATTCAATGACAACACGGTGAGCGGCCATTTTTTGAGGATGCAACATGGTTTCCAGATTGTCCATTAATATCCCGTTTCATCCCAATGGTCCCAGTGGAGTATGCTCCGCCAACTGTTGAAATATACTCTACTATGCTTTATAAGACTATTCGTGGAATTTTTCCCAAAATCGTTGCAAAACACTTGAAAAAATGAAAATTTAAAATTATTTCCATGACGCCCCAAAATAGCTGCGTCGGTACCTCGGATTATACATCTTGACAGTACGGATGTTCGATACGATCCTATATTTAGAAGTATCGATACATTTCACGAGTCTCGTCATATTTCGATCCGGACCGTATCAGAAAGAGTGACTGCCATTTGGCTGCGACATTACCCTGCCAAATCAGACATATCTTTCATCATTTTCAAAATTGTACAAAATCTTCAAATTTGTGAAGTTAGCGAGTTTCACTTCATACGTTGTGTACCAGACATGCCCAAATCATCAGTTGCTGCCGTGATATTCATCCCGACCACTGCATCCCCACGGCTAGGCGACCTATATGTTAAATTTGTGTTGATAGGGCAGCGGCTTATGCTGTAAATCATATGTCACAGTGTTTGTGCACTGCAACGGTTAGATGATACCAAAAATATTTTCATAAATAGGAAATCTTTCCCATTCCAGATCGAACAATCTACCAAAGATGCTTATAATCATGATACCTAGTATATTTTCACGACAAAAATTCAAAACCTGCAAATGCAAAAGATTCATTTCGCACCCTCCACCACGGGACGTGATCGTCGTTAGACTTGGCAACCCTGCGAGTGACAGATAGATATCCCCGCCAGTGCACCAGTCAAAAAGACAAACATTAAACATTACTAGTTTTTATCATTTTTGGACTTATAAGACATTATTTGTGAGATATTTTTCGTATTTTTTTGTCTATGTCCATAGTAATTGTATTACGCATCACGGAGATGTAGGGATTGACACGTCTCTACACATATTATCTGTGTTTAAGGATGGAGAGGACAATATTTTTATTGCTTTGAAGAAATTCATTAACCCATAAATTAATAAATGATTACTATTATGATGTAAAGGAAGATGAGGAATTGGATGGAATGTATTTTATATTATATTTTCTTGCAAAATACAGACTAATCCACACTATTCAACACGTATGTAATGATAACTTTCAGTATATTGAAGTTGGGAAATTCGAGAGTGCCATGCATTTACAAACGTCCAAATCTGCTGCCAAATTTAACAGCTAGAAAATCGACCTAATATTTGCCGCATTCCCATTCGCTGAGGGGGAAACGGATTGTTAAATGTAAACCTATAACATATATCAAAATACATGAAAGTTGTCCTGTTTTTTCTATACAAAAGCATCATGTTGGAATCAAAAAGTGGTCTTGTTTATAATACAGATTTTATTCAATATTTCAATAGAAATCACTAATATTCAGAGACCTTTGACAGCTTCTGTCAAATTGCATTTCGATAAGGAATTTTCCCATTGGTCCATAATATTAATGTTGGTGAAATCGGCCCATAAACTATTAATATCTTTGTAATTCCTCCTACATTATTATTAATCTACATTGAATTTACATGACATTATGATATTGTATACTGTTTTATTGTAGGATAAATACTTTAGGGGTTAGAGGATACCCTAGTTGATATAAATTACATAAAAAGCCCAACTGCAGCATCTGTGGTGGGATATGTCAAATGAGATGTTGGAGACTGCTGTACGAAAAAGGCTTAAGGCCGTATGGCCGATTGCTTGATTTTCATAATTTTCTACTGTTCCGTGTCAGCGCTCTATTTTGAGGTTTGTTACAAATATCTAGTTGCATCAAATTGTTCATTTTTTTTAATTTATATCATCTGTATCAGCCTGAAATTCCCTACAATTCAAAAAGAAAACGCAGTCTCACAATAGGAGAGCGAGACAGTAGAAATCTAGAAATACTCCAGCGTTTCTGATCGAAAGAAAAGACTATAAAAATCAAGGAGGCCATAAAGGTGTCCTACAATTATTATAGGAACGACTGTCGATACCGCGCTTAGTAGTGCGAGTGACAGGGGACATATTAAAATTTTATGAAATAATAATAGTGTATTTTGACATGTCTTCTTTGCAAGTATACTGAAGTTTTATAAAATCAAAAGAACGGACATTTAACTTTGAAATTGCTATTTCGCGGGATATAGCTCAAAGGGCTTAATATATGTTGACATTTTCAGAGGGGGAATAGTAGAAATTTAGAAATAGCCCAGCCGTTCTGAAGGAGAGAAAAGACTATGAAAATCAAGGAAGCCATGAAGGCGTCATACAAATCAAAAGCATGAATAATTTGATGCAAATGGATTTTTGTAACATAACCTCAAAATAAAGCGGTGTTGCGGAACAGAAAACTACGAAAATCAAGGAGGTCATTAAGGCGTCCTACAACATTGTAGGCCTCCTTGATTTTCATAAGTTTTCTACTGTTCCGTGTCAGCTCTATATCTTGAGGTTACGTTACCAATATCTATTTGCATCAAATTGTTTATGCTTTTGATTTATAGCAACTGTTACTTCAGCAAGAAATTGCCTACAATACGGAACAGTAGAAATCCAGAAATACTCCAGCATTTCTGATCGAAAGAAAAGACTATAAAAATCAAGGAGGCCATAAAGGTGTCCTACAATTATTATAGGAACGACTGTCGATACCGCGCTTAGTAGTGCGAGTGACAGTGGACATATTAAAATTTTATGAAATAATAATAGTGTATTTTGACATGTCTTCTTTGCAAGTATACTGAAGTTGTATAAAATCAAAAGAACGGACATTTAACTTTGAAATTGCTATTTCGCGGGATATAGCTCAAAGGGCTTAATAGATGTTGACATTTTCAGAGGGGGAATAGTAGAAATTTAGAAATAGCCCAGCCGTTCTGAAGGAGAGAAAAGACTATGAAAATCAAGGAAGCCATGAAGGCGTCATACAAATCAAAAGCATGAATAATTTGATGCAAATGGATTTTTGTAACATAACCTCAAAATAAAGCGGTGTTGCGGAACAGAAAACTACGAAAATCAAGGAGGTCATTAAGGCGTCCTACAACATTGTAGGCCTCCTTGATTTTCATAAGTTTTCTACTGTTCCGTGTCAGCTCTATATCTTGAGGTTACGTTACCAATATCTATTTGCATCAAATTGTTTATGCTTTTGATTTATAGCAACTGTTACTTCAGCAAGAAATTGCCTACAATACGGAACAGTAGAAAGCTAGAAATACCCCAGCCTTTTTGAAGGAAAGAAAATACTACTAAAATCAAGGCCATAAAGGCATCCTACAAAAATTGTAGTTACATCTAATGATGCAAGCCTTAGTGAATATTTTTCAATCAAAATCTCGAGTTCTAACGAATAAATCAAGGCGGCGGATCCAGGGGTATTCTCAAATTTCTATTTAATTCTGGGCGTTTCATTATTTGATGTTTTTTAGCTATAATTTTCGTCAGAAATTCGCTTGACCGTGCTCATGAAAAAACCAGTGGCGTGTTCAGTTAAAATCCGGAATACCTGGTTTGACGCCTGAATATTATGTTTTGGCGAAAAATAACAGTTAAACAATTTAAGATGGCGACTGGGCAACTTTTTTTAAATGGGATGGGAAGTCATGTGATACATTATTTTTAAGTGTGTATTAGTAATATTCAATAACCCTGTAATATACAATAACTATCTTTCAAAATGCTGGACTGGCAGACTATCAAAGTTATATAGTTATATCTACTTGTTTTTGAAGATTCTATCAGAA